ATCTTGTGACATGCCCATGTGACACATCAATTTCATGATCTTCATTGGGCCAAGACTGTTGTGACCCAGGCTGAATGGGAGGCTCTTGGGGAGTCATTCACCCAAGTGAGGTAAGTGAGCTTTCAGGGCACCGGGGCCGGGTCAGCGAATCACCTGTTCCTAGGGGCTGGTGGGGACCCCGACGTCTGGGCAGAACCCATTTCCTGAGTGGTGCACGTGGCACTCTTGCCAGCCCAAATGAAGAGTGCACGTGGCATTCTTGCTCCCCTTGTCCCCGCTATGTCCTGCTCCATCAACACCAGCCAGCATTGCCCCGCCCTGCAGAGGCTGCAGGGAGGTGGCTCTGCCAAGTTCACCCTCTGCGTGCTCCTGGAGGAGAGCTGCCTGGCCTGCTCCTCTTCCAGTTCTGTCTTGGGGCTTTGTTTTCTCGGTGAGCAGCACACAGGCCCACRCGCTGCCCCATGCTGGACTTTCAGGAATGTCCTCGAGGCGTCACTGGGTTGTCTTTATTCTTCCCACGCCACACAACACAGCCCTAGTGTTGGCCCAGGTACCAGACAACACAGGTGAGCTGCCCAAGGGGAAGAACTCCCGAGGCTCCTTTCTCTGACAGTCGACAATCAAAACCATGCAGGGCTGGGAGACGTTCACGGCCCGGCGCCAGATGTGGAGAGCGCCCCAGCCAGGCGGCCCTCCCGCTGCCACCCTGGGCAGGGCTTCCCCGCGGCCTTACCACTGTGAGAAACTGTGCTCCTACCTCTGACTCTCCTCTCTAAAGGTGGCCTGACATCAGGTGCAAGGTCCAAATTGAGACTTGAAAGAAGCTTCATGAAGACACCATGCTCCTTTGGTTTACCCCTTAGCATTGCAAAAGCAAGCAAGTCTGGTCCAAGGTCTCCAGCAGGACACAGTGACCCCCGATAGCTGGGAAACCACCTTGGCTGGACCACCTGGTGGGATCTGCGGAGCAGGCGGCTCTTGTAGCTCAGGTACAGCAGCACATCCCAGCAGGGCCGCTGGGGCTCACACACCTCTCTGCCTACATTTCCTCCATGTGATGGAGACCTAGATTCCTCTCAAAACACCAAGCAAAGGTGCAAACCAGCAGGAGACTTCCGAAAGTGGTACTATTTTGCCCAGAATCTCTGAGCACCTAAGCCTCGAGAGATCCCACAGCCAGGATGCTGACCAAAGCTAGAGAGGCTGGGCCCCGTGCTGACCAAGGGCCTCGGCTCAGCCGACTTATCTGGTGAGATCCCCACCCCTGCATTTCTCAGTGCTCACTAAACCCCTCGCACTGCCAATCCCCTGTGGCCAGAGGGCCCAGGTGGAAATGGAACATACCGAGCGAAGACAGTGCTTGTTGAGACCTCCTGAGACAAAACCCTGCCTCCAAAGACCTAGTGAGAAGGGTTTTTTGTTTGTCCCCACCAACCCAAACACACTTTCAACTGCATAAGCATGACAAGATAAACTGATTCGTTTTAGACATTCAGATCTGCTCTGCGCGCTACCGAGCACAAGGTGGGCCCGGGGCCTCTGTTCGCAGCAGGCACACCAGCGGCAGGAGAGGCCTGGGGCTCTGGCCAGCAGCATGCAGAAGGGGAAGAGGCCAAGGCCCAYGGCTGTGTGTCTGTACTCAAATATAGAGATTAAAAAATGCTAAAGAGAAAGAAAGAAAGGCGAGCACACAGCTGCCGTCCCCAAACAGACCTCCCATCTGCCACCCACGGTCTGCATGTCACCTTCTCCAGGCTCATTTGTACTTCATTAACTGCCATTGACTTAACAAGATTTATGCAAATGACACCGTAGGAGCTCCCCAACTCCCACTGCAATCAAGTGATTATGTATGTACAACTCTCCACAGCCATGAAAAATTAATACGTGACAAGCCCACTCGCYGCTGAGCCGGGCTCTGGCTTTTATTTTTCTTGCTTTGCTTTTYGATTTTTATTCGAATAGACCTTATCTTGTTAGGAAGTAAAGAAACAGAACTCTCTGAACCAGTCCCCTCCAAGGCCCGGGAAAGGGCACAACAATGAGAGGTGGGCTCTGGTCCAGGAGAAACRGAGGTAAGCCCCAGAAAGCCGGCCGGCCGTGTTCCTGAAGATAAACCTGGGGCTGCGGCGGGGACACGCAAGTCCTGACCCTGGACCGGCCGGCTCTCATACTGGGGAGGAGCCTGGGCCCTCACATGAAGGAGTCTAGAGTTTAAGTGAAATGGGGTTAAAATCACCCACCGCGTACGTGCAACCTGTACAGACGTGGTCCKTCTGTGGGGAGAGGAGGCGTGGCTCAAAACAGGGGCCAGGCCAAGCCCAGGGCATGACCACGACGCCTGGCCTGCTGAGCCCGGAGAGCAACCCCTCTGCCATCAGGCAAGAGAGCTGGTGAGCAGGGACCAAGCTTTGGCCACAGACGGGGCCTGAGGACCAGGTGTCCTGCTGATGGTGAGAAGGGCAGGAACACAAAGGTGACAGACGCAGAGAGGACTGAGGGGATGGCCATTCCCACCTGAGCGCACGGGTGAGGTGGGCTGCTGTAGGCAAGCCCTGGCTGCTCCTGTTGAGGTCAGCGCTCACATATTTGATTTCTAACCCAAAACTCTGCTTCCAGAGCTCTTTGCAGGCTTCTCATCACTTGGGCAGTGGGGAGGGCACAGGTACTGGGCAGAGGGTCCTGTGGAAGGCGGGTCCCACTCAGCACCCAGCATCGCAAGCCTCCAGCCTCAGTGTGAGTCAACCTAACAGGCACTGTTCGACTGCTCATCTGCTCAACAGACAGCTGCTGAGTTCTCATCTACGCTGCGTAGGTAGCGCCCCATCCTCTCCTTTCCACGTTGTTGAATCCATCACACTGGGATGGAGGAACTCGGAGGCTCTCAAGTGATCTGTGCTCCTTTAGAAACACGGTGCCTGCAGGCCGGTGAGATGAGCCCACAGGACCATCTACAGCCCGCAGAGTGCACAGGGGGCCTCGGACGGGGCGCTCTGGACACTGACCTCAAACTCCAGCGCGGCAGGAACGGGGCATCCTCTGTGGAATCGGAGGATTCAGACAGCCTCCGGTGCCCCGGTTTACAGAGGAGGAGTCTGAAGTCTGGGGCACCTGGACACCCAGAAGGAGCTGGTCTGTGTCTACACATCGGGGCCCTGATGAGGGACAAGGAGCACACAGAGTCCAGTAGTCACCAGGAAACCAGACTGTCACTAGATTTCAGATGACTGAGATGATTGTCTGCCATGGACGAGATTCGACCGTTACACTTGATGGTCGGTACCAACCTGCACACAGAAGGGGAGCCCCTCCACCGATGAGCAGGGTCAAGACTAAGTGAAGGCCCAAGCTCACCTGGCGCCTGACTGACTGGCAGAGGGGCTCCTGCCCACCCAAATCAACAGGGCACATGAACCAGGAACCGTGGAGGTTTTCAACCTTCCCCACCGTCCAGATCCTAGTGCCAGGTCTAGAGGTGAGAAGCATAAATGTTATAGACTAGCATCACATTACGGAGAGTCGGGTCATAAATAAGGGAGCTGAAGGAAGAGACCACATGCATGGACTGAAGGGTCCTAGCAAGGTGTGGAGGTCCCTGAGCTGACCCACACTGGTCACCTGGTATGTGAACGTGTGTCCTGCACACAGGCACCATGGCCTTGGTCACCACATCCAGACTGTCCTTCTCCCCACCTGGCAACTCATGGGCAGAGCCTGGTGCAGGGAGAAAGATGGGGGCACAGGCCCACTCAGTTCTGCAGCTGCTGAGGGGCTTTGCAACAGTCGTGGGCTTCTCAGGAGGCCCTGTGGACTCCTGGCCTCTGGTCTCATCCCAGGTGCTGTGGCCCTGYTTACCCCTTCCTCTCCCATGTCATCACTCTGGACTGCCCAGCCCCCACCAAAGCTGTACCCTGTTTGTTCCAAATGAGTGAGACCTATTATTGCCGAAATGGTCCAATTGTATTTCAGGAAAGACTCTGTCCCTCTTTAAGAGTGGCCAGTGCCCAGGTGCATTCCTAAAGGAGAAATAAATGCAAGTCCCTGCAGTTGAGGACAGGGCACAGGCGATATCAACCAGAGGGCCAGAGTGGACAAGCAGTGTCCGTTGGAGGCAGAACTATCATCCTGCCCACAGATTTCTTTTTCTCCTTGAGCAGAGCACACTACATCAGTTGGCTTCCTTTAACAAACTAAAAGACGGCACTCCCAGAAGCCTCTGTGTGGGGCTGAACTCTATTCTCATTCTCCCTGGAAATAAAATGGCAAAACACGTCACACGTGAATTCCAGTGCTTTTGACTTGCGACAAAGTGATTTAGCACTGGTTTCTGGGCTGATGGAAACCTATTTCAGGCAAGCAGCACAGGCCAAAACAAATGCTTGAATTCAAGTCCTGTTGTGTAATGAGGAAGTTTAATTAAGGCCCCACATTACAGCTGTAAATGTTCCTTTATATAATAAGGTCTAAATGAAACTGAACCTAATCAAAGTTACAATTCCTTCATTAGCAAATTACAAACAAGCGCGYACAGCTGACGCGCCGGCGAGGATTATCACAACTAATTGCCTCGTTGTCACAGGCCAGCCTGAAACAGCGTTCAGATGTCCGTCTGCGAGAGCAAATTAGGGCCACGTCGGGCTATTCCTGTGATCACAAGGGGCTCTTGTACAGCGATCTGATTTACCCGTGTCGCCTGGCGGCCAGCAGCCCAATCAAAGGCACGCTACAAAGGCAGCCTGTGAAGCCGGCCCTGCCTGGACGGGCCCTCCATATGTAGTGGGCACGCGGCACTTCATTAGATCTGTTGTCACATTTCCCTCTTCTCATTCTAATGATCCCATTTTAATACTCCCAGGAACCTCTTCTAATTGATGTCAAGTGAGTGACTTCTACATTCATCAACACCGCACATCAAACAAACCCTGGCACCCGAGCCAGCGTCCTCTCGGCCGACCCGAGGTGTGTCTCCGGCGACGGGCAGGGAGGGGGACGCTGCGTACCTGTTTAATTGGGATGGCTCGGCCGCTCCCGATGCTGTCCGCGCGGCTCTCCAAGCCTTTCTTCTCTTTGTCTGGGTCGCTCCCTTTCCGAGACTGCAAGGCAAAGGAAAGTTGGCATTTGGGTGAGGGCCGCGGCTCACACGCCCGCTCTTCCCCTGCCCACACGCTTCTGACAACAGGGACCTGGAGGCCACATCTGGCACATGTGTGTGCACACACACATCCCAGAAACAGACCCGCCAGCACTTCATCTGCACTGACTCATCATTCCAGAGAATTTCCTAAACTTTCCCCCTGACTTTTTCATTAAAAAAGAATTAAAAGATAATTTTGCAAAGAGTTCAAAATTCAATTACTAGAAACCAATGGACCATCTAGGAAAGTAACGCCCAAGAAGAAAACACATTCCAGAGCTGCAGTTAACACAGCCAAGGAGAAAAGGGGCTCCTTGCTCCTTAGTCGGAAAACAGTCTGCATAAATGTATATATTTAATTAACGTCTGAATGATCTAAAAAATTCTATTAACTAGTCAGCTGAGCAATTTAAATGTGCACCCTTGATCGGCACCAAGGTGTGGGCGGCAGCGTTGCCTTCTCTTGCTTCTTCGTGGGTAGAAAACAGTGATTTCAAAGTTAAACTAGTGTACCATACCACTGAAAATAACAAGGGGAAATCCCAGAAACCTCCTCCCGATAAAACGCTGGTATTCGGGAAGAGCGAGCAGCTCTGTGGGTCTRCCTCGTTCCGGAGCCAATTATCTCGAAGGGAGCGTGGATACTGCAGAGCTACCCGGGGGGCTGGTGGCCAGCGGGGAGGGGGCCACATGTGACCAGGGAGCCACAACCTGAGGTGCACCTTAACTTGGCCAAGACCACAAGAGCGTCCCCGTCCAAATCCCCATCCACCCATGGCGCGAGAAAGGGCGAGCGCCGTGATTTTCTGACAGATTTATTTTATTATGAGAGAAAGATCTGAGACTCGTCCTCCTTAATAACTGTGCTGACAAGTGACAACTTCACTCCATTACTTTTCAATGGGAACATTACTCACGCAATATTGAAAATGGAGAAACATTTTCATGTGCTTTTCAAATCTGAAATGATATATGAAACGGAGAGACCCGGTGGTGTCCAGTGCCGCCGCGATGGTGATAAAACCCAGTTTCAAAGGCATGTGGGATGCTGCGGCCGGTGTTCTAAAACAATGTTAAGAGGGGTGACGGCACAGGACATGAGAAAGCCAGGCCGACGGGACGGGCTCAAGATCCCAGGAGAGGCTGCTGCCAGAATCCAGTGAGAAGACYGGGAGAGGGCCCCGGTGACATCAGGCAGCGCCGGCACCTCAAAGGGCGCTCATTAGAACATGTGCTGCTTGTGACCACAGGGGCCCACCATTACTGAACACCTACTATGTGTCTGGCAGTACGGGCCTTATTTCCTTAGGATGGTTAGAAAGCTGGAATGAGACGACAGGAAAACAGGAAGCAGCCGGGGAAGACACCCAGGGTTTGCCCTCCGGGATAGAAGGAAGGAGAGGTGCTCGCCAATTCCTCTTCGGGAATCACAGCTAGAGTCCGGGGGTTTTCTTTTCTCTTTAATTAATTCTCAGATTAATAATGTGTCGTAAAAGCGATACGATGATCTCAAATTCTTTCTTCACGTTTTAATTCCTACAGAAGCTGGCCCTTCAGGTTTCCAGTTGTAAGATGAATTTTCAAGCTTGCAGACAGAACAYTTAAAACAATTCTAGGTTGACGTACAGCACTCACAGTACTTTGGGAATTTTACGAATTCTAAATTCCTAAATCTGGAAATCCATCTTCATTATTCTCTATTAAACAGAATAATTAACAAAACAAACATTTTTTAAAAAATTAACATCCTCCTCAGGGCAGCACATCTGTCCCCATACCCACTTCTGTTCTCAGAGCAGAATCTCCCGAGCAGGAGGAAAGGGCTAACTGTATTGCCACGAACAGCTCGGAAACAAAACTAAATCCGACATCTGATCCCAGCTCAGCGAGGAACTGGAACCTGGGTAAGACTTCACTGCAAAAATCAAACCAAAATTTCCTGAAAACTAACATTCTGGTGAGAGTCATAACCTAAATGCCAGCAAAGAGCTGGGCAAGCTGATGGTCAGAAGGGCCGGCTGCATCTCAGGTCAACAATTACTCTGTCCAAACAGGCTATGTTAATTAAATTGAAATAAAAAACTAAATTCACTGGACAAAGAAMGCTGCAGCCCGTGTAAATCCCCAGCGAGGTCATCTTGCTGTCCTGCAGACGGCATCCTCCGTCACGGCTGAGATGGCTCTGGGGATGTCAGATGCAGCGGTCCTTGGTACCCACCAGTTGTCGCAGAGCTGCGTCCAGCCCGCTGCACACTACTGAGAACATAACCAGGGTTTGTGTGCCTGGCTCAGAAGATGTGGAGACCCCGAGCGCTGAGAAAGGCCGCTCAGCTTCCACAAATGCTCAGTGCAGGTCATCTGATGATCACTTGCTTCCTTACAAAGATGTTTCACTTCCCTCAGGTGAAAGAAGCCAGGAAGAGAYACGCCACCCACACCTGTGTACTGGACAGAGCACTGCTGCAAGAGCCCTTCCTATCAAACAGACACCACTCTCCCCTTGTCCCCAGCAAGGAAGGGCTGAGGACGCACCTGTCACGGGCACCCAGGCTCTACAAAAACACAGCGTGCCATTCGGAACTGCCACCTGTATACAGATTGCACGTCTTGTTCTCACAGTGAGTTCTGTGAGTTGTTTAATGTTTTGCACAGTCTTGGGACACAGGCATGCTTAGCTCTGGTTAATGACACTGACATTACACAGCAAGCTTTTGAAAGACCACATCAACAACACCATCGCTACAGTGTGAAAGGAGGCAGCGCAGCGCAGCACACTGTGTGAGGACCAAGCTAGTTTAAAATGTGAACAGAGACAACATGCGAGGAATTCAGTAGGGCTGGTCCCTGRGAGGGAGGCAGGAGACCCCGTCTGGGAGGCGTCCAAGGAGGGCTTCACCCTTCACTTGGGATTTACTTATTTCTTGAAGCAGCAGCAGTGGTAGCAGCAGAAAAACATTTGAATTTGGTGCGTTGGAAGGTGGTATGTGTGTATATTTTTTATTCTGCTATATTTGAAAACATTTTCAAATAAAATGTTTCAAACCACAAGTAAGTTGGGGCTACTAAATTAATCACTCTAAGAACCCATATTCCAAAACAGTCTTTTAGTGTTTGTTTTCTCAAAACAATGATTTTTCAAAATGCTCAAAATATATTTTTACTTTTGATTACTAAAGTATAATTCCTACTATAAAGGTGACACATAATTAGCTACTAATACAGAGAGTTTAAATTTGTACCATTTCATGTAAGGTACACGATTTGTTTTTTTAAAAAAGTAAATACATGCAAACAAAAACATCTGGGAGTAGAAGATGTTAGCCCAGCCTATACATTACACGTCTATGTTATAAAATATGTAAGAATGGTATTTGAAAAAATGGTGTGTGTACTATTTAATTAACTCTGGCCTCTTTGTAATGCACTAATAAATAAGGTGACTGTTGCCTCCTGCATATTATAAACCCAGATGCATGAATTTTTATTCACTAAGGTTGATCCCATATGGTACATGTGTCCTCCTTCTAGATACTTTTAAATAAATATACACTTTGACAATTAAGCCAGAAAAATGCCAAAGATCACCAGAGATGAAGAGTCTACCGGATTTTACATTCTTCAGAATGTGAACAAACTGGCAGCAATAAGAATTTAGTTTCTTCTTCCCAAGATTTCAAAATTGATTTGCTTTCTCTTCATTCCTTGAATGACACTGACATCTAGTGGAGTTAATCTAAGATCTTCCACTAAAAAATACTCAGTACTCATGCATCACCACTATCGTCACCACCTCCATGTCACCACCACCATCACCACAGTTCTGTCAACTGAAACCCAGAAAGGGACAGGCAGACCCTGCTGGGATTTCAGCCAACATCACCTTGGCTTCTTTTCATGACCTCACACTTCTGTTCTCCTTAACATAGTCGGGCAGCGGGGTTTGGTTACTACAATGGTCCACTCTCAAATGGTCTTCCAACATTAGAAAGGAAGAGAATACACACGGACCCTGCACAGGCCACAGGCAGGCCGAGATCAGTCGTTCCCCGACTTAGTCCCCATGCAGGGTGGTTCTCGCTGGTTCCTGCACCTGCCCACCCAGCCTGCACTCTGGCTCCCTGGCCTCCTGGATGCCCGTGTGCACACACGCTTCCTCGTGGTCTTGCGCCAGCTGCAGGCAGGCCCTTCTCTTGAATTCTGCTCTCTCCTTTCAGTGTGCAGAGCCCCTAGCTTCCCTCCAGACCCCTTCTCCTGAATGCAGTGGACTCTGGCACAAGCCCTCCTCCTGGACTCTGAGCAGAACCAGGGCTCTGCCGCGAGCCAGGCTAAGTCAATATTTATTAACTGGGTTATGATTTTGATTGTTCCCGTCTTAAAGTGCTCTCTATAGTCCACATGGATTGTCGGTTACCCATTATAGGACAGGGTCCAGGACACTATTTTCTGGCACAATCCAACTCCACAGCTTCCCCTTTAGAGGATGGGACAAGAATGTGCTGCTGATCTTCTTATAAGTAACTCTACTTTTTTGTTTGTTTATTTTTTGCCGTTGGGGATCAAACCTAGGGGCATTTCACCACTGAGCTACATCCCGACTCCTATCTATCTATCTATTTATTTATTTACTTTGAGACAGGTTCCACTATTTGCTGACAGTCTCATTAAGTTGCTGAGGCTGGCCTTGAATTTGAGATCCTCCTGCCTCAGCCTCCAGAGTTGCTGGGATTGCAGGCCTGTACCACCATGCCTGGCTAAGCAGCTCTATTTTTAAAGGCATTTCCTGGATTTTTATTTCTTTCACTGAATAAAAACCAAAGACAATGAGCAGCTAATGTGACCCTGGCAGGTGCCGGAAGCTATGTTCTCCCTCCCAGCTCCTAACAGGGGTGGCAGTGACGACACAGAAGCTGTCTTGACAGATGCATTCACCAGCCTCTTGAGTCCAGAGGGGATGTGCAGCCTGTCCTGTGGGGTGGCCACTTCTCACTGGACAAGGCCCTGGCCTGGGAGAGCTGGGAGGGAGCCGTTGGGGCAAGTGTCCCATTCGGTGTGCGCCCACAGACAATGAAGGCCCAGCAGAGGTTCCCTGCACTGAGACACACACTGCCTCCCCTCCAKCCAGCCGTCTTACAGCTACTCCCACCTGACCCCATCAGAGGTCACGTACGGAACATTAGTGGTCATGAGGAAACAGGGAAAGCCATGCCACAGGGCTCTTCTGCCCCACTGCACAAGTGCTACCTTCCCAGCTCAGAGAGGTTAAGTAATTTGCCTAAGTTCAAACAGCTGCCCGTAGGGGAGGCCAGGGCCTGGGCCTGCTCTCTCTGATCAGTCTGCACAGCAGCCTCTGCCAGAGCAGCATGGAACAAGGCAATCAGCAAGGAGCAGAGTGCAGTTAAGTGGCACTGTGCAGTCAGCAGACCCTGGCGATACTGACTGTCTCAGGGCGGGAGAGGGACGAGGCATCTACCAGACCTGGCCGGCTCCCGTGGCATCAAGACGGCCATCATCAAGTAAGGGAGGCAGGTGAGATGTGCACTCCCAGTTCCCGTGGGGGTATTCTCCTCCAGTTTCAGACAGGAAACACTAGACTTCTTGGTGTCTGAGTCAGCACCAACCAACCAAGAGGAGACAGGTGTGATCAGAGCACTGCCTGCAGGTGGGCTGAGCTTCCCTTGTAGGTGGKGCTGGCCTGTGAGTCAGGAAGTTCAGGAGCACCCAGCTGCTGCTCGACAGGTACCTTCAGCACCTGACCCATCCACCCATTCCCATGGTGTGACAACCCCAAATCTCTGCAGAAGTTGCCAAAAGTCCTTCAGTTGCAAAAGTGCCCTGGTTGAGAACCACTGGTTTAAAACCTGTCATGCACAGAGCTGGTCCGGGGGGGAGAGTGCTCCTGCCTGGTCACATGCCAGCAGCTCTGCCTGGTGTTCTGGGCTCCACTGCAAAGCCTTCCAGGGTTGATTGGCGATGCCTGCTGTGTGGGCAGGATGGGGGTGGGCAGGGCAGTGTTTGTGTCTCCTGTATTTCAGGAATTTCCTTATCTCAGTTGTCCCCAGAGCCACCCACAGGTCGGGGCCCCACCCACAGACTCTGAGTTTCTAAATGTGAGCCTAAATACCTGATCTCCAGTTTTCAAACACTCCTAGATGACTCTCTCTGTGCTGTGAGCCCCAGGAAGCCCAGGGCACATGGGGCTGAGAGCCAGCGCTGCCCCAGCCCCGACCTGCACCCACCAAGGTAAGTCCTCAGACAGGGAGAACAGGCTGGTTCCCATCTCCCATCTGAAGAAATGGGTGCACACCTTTGAGAATGCCACACAACTCTGTTTTGTGTAAGATGCAGACAGTGTCTCTCTAGAGACCATGAAATGCTTGTTATAAATCCAAGACACCAAGGCTCTCCATGCACACTGCTCTCCATGGAGAATTCCCATTCTACTCAGCATCCAGACCTTGGCTCCCACTGCTGTCTTAGAATTCCAGAGTCAATGCCATTCTTATTAACTTAGCTTGGATTCTACGACTATCACTGGACCACCAGACCACCACGTTAACAGGGGCCCAGGCCTCTCCCCAGGGCTGACACTCACGGTGAAGAGGTTGGACCGGCGCTTGGACTGCTTCCGCACGGGTGTCGGGGTGTTGGCAGTGGGAGGCACATCGATCCGAAGCTCCTTCTGGCTGGTGCTTGGGGTCGACGGGACAGAGGAGGAGTAGTCGCTTAGGCTCCCGCCGCCATTACTTGTCTGCAATGATCAAAACCAAGGTTTCATTAAGGACACACTCCTGGAACCTAAGGTCACCACCTCAGTGGGGTGGCAGTCAACCAGTTCTCAAGTCTTGTGGGGTGAGCCAGGGCGGAAGGCAGACTTCTGTGACTTTGCCAGCTGTGCGCAGCAAGCACACAAGGCCTCTTTCTAGAAATCCGCCATCTCAGAGTTGTTTTGTCTAAGAAAGTGACCAAAGGGAACAAAGTGTCTATCATTAAACTTGAGCATTTCAAACAGCTAAAATGWAACCATTTCCCTTCCCTCTGGAAAGCAAAGAGGCTAGTTAAACTAATGGATYCCCCGTTCCTTCTCTGCTCTAGAACGGGAACGGAGGGACCTGGTTTGCTCAGCAGAACCACAAGGAACATTCTGCAGATGACATCTGGAAATCGGGTGCTGCTGGAAGATGTTTCCAGGCTCGCAGGAAGTTAAAGACGCCAACAGTACAGCGTTGACATTCCTGAGTGAGCCTTCACAGCCCACAACAAGAGACCACGGGAATGGACTGCCTTCCCGGGCACCAACCCTTCCAYTGCACCCTCTGGACCCAAGGGCCAAGAGACCACCTAGCCAAGAAAGGTCAATCACAAAACCAGTGCAGGCAAAATAAAGCAAAATAAAGCAACAGTATCCTGAACAGGCTTCTGCAAGTTCTTCAAAGTGACAATTATTTCATTTGCTTCCAAGTAAGTAATTTAGAAAAATGTTGTTGTGTAAAGAGAGCAACTTCTAGAGGGCCCGGGGGAGGTGGCAATTATAACAAGTTGCGCTGCCAATTTGAGGCGTACGGTGGTTTGCCCACAAGACTGACTGAGAACTGTGAACCTGCAAGTGGGCCAGGAACAAGACCAGAGCACGGTGCCTTAAATCAGCAGCGGACACACTCCTGGCACCGCCCTGGGCCAGCGTGGCTCATAATGGATTCCAGGCAGCAGGAACGACCCCTAAAACCCAGCTGGCCACGGCAGGTTCTGAAGGAAACGGGGGTCAATCACAAACACACTGCTGTTATCTCCGCAGCTGGAAGGAGCCAAGCTGACTTCTGCACTGACTGTGAGCACTGTCTCCACGCTGTCCCTGGTCCCAGGTCCCCTCAGTCCCTCATCCCACCTGACATACCTGGCTGATGTGCACGGCAGACACCTGTGCAGAACAGACAGAGGAGTGGCTGGGAGAGTTGGGCAGGGACTTGCAGGGGCCGATGGACAGCTGCTGCTTCTTCCTTGTGGCAACAATCTTCTGGGCAACTGGCAGACACAGAGAMAAGAGAAGTCACCCTGAAGCCGGTGTCCAAGTACAACAGGCAGAACAGACGAGCTGGGGACCCCGACATCCGCAGGGCTTTCCCTCCTTCCACAGGACCTTCAGTTGGCACCTGAACATTTCCCAGAGCTCCCCTCCCCCGGGGCCCAGCCAGCAAGCTCTGGACAGTGGACCACGGGTCAGCTCTCAGGAAGCCACCTTCCTCCAGGGAGAGCTGCCCTCTGCCCATTGCTCCCTTGTGTCCCTTTCCTTCATCTGCCTGATTCGCAGAGATGTCTGTGGCCCCAGCAGCCTTCCCGGGCCATGAGGTGGTGCTGGGGATAGAACCCACACTGAGTGAGGCCGGATACAGAAGGCACGGAGGGCCTCAGAGGACTCACGTGTGGAAACAAAAACACAGACCCACAATGTGAAATTTACCCTAAAATAACCTTTTTCCCAGTTAGTGGTCGCACTGATAAGCCTAACTGGAACAGGGAGCTTTCCCTAAAGCCCTTGGAACCCCGAATCCTCCTGTCACCCTGCCTGAGGAGTCACTCTTAACTCCACAGGCTCTAGTGGAGCTGATACTCAAGCACAAGCAATTACATCCCAGCTCTTTTTTTATTTAAACGTATCACCTCCACACTGGAAGTTTATCTTCATCAATACAAATCTGAATCCAACCAGCCATAACTTCTCTTGGCAAATAGGCTCGCTGATAAAGCATATTGGATTTAATTGGAAAGGAAGCCGACGATTAGAAAGCCCTTCCTGCACTGAGGGGTGTCACTGCGGGAGGAGTCCCGGGGTTCATGTGCATGGATGTGGGCCCCGGGGAGTGGCTGTCACTGGGCTCAGTGCTACTCCACTCATCTCTTGGTCTGGGTTGTTCCGGCCCCCAAAGGTGCCAAAGTGGAAGGACACCTTGCCTTTCCCTGGCCCCTGGTGATGTCCTGGAAGCAGCCCACGAGCTGCCCACAGACAATGCTCACTGATGATTTCTTTTCCAAATGAACACAATTTTAATAAGGAACGGGTCTGTCCACAGCCTGTGGTTTTCGTGTGAATGAATGATAGTATAAATATGATGAAGTAAAAGTGCAATGAATAAAAAATGGTTCAGGAGACGAAGCAGCGGCTCCATTAGTTACTTCCCCCTCCAATAGGCTTCTCATCAACCTGAAAGGATGGTATCAATTAATTTATCTTCCTGCAGTGTATCGAACATAACCTTCATCAGCTAATCATGTTTAAATTACAGAGGAATATCGCGGCACTCTGTCATTTCAAAACCATTGGCGTATTGATCAGGGGTCTTTGAAGACATATATTAGAATATTTTAAAAAATCATTGCATGAACTCAAAAATGAAATCTCAGATCAGCTTCCAATAGCTGCAGAACGTGTGTCACACAGGTGTACTGAAATCCCAAAGACCTTAAAGCAAATTAGCCTGAAATCACGGCTGCCTGGGTGAGTGCTGATCCTTATCCTTTTGAAACACAGCAAAAAGGGGCTGTGTTTCAGCCCCATGTTCTGCTTCTCTGCCAGCCTCAGTGTGTGTCCGCCGTGTGACCACACAGGCCACCGAACACAGGAGCCGCACATCGCCGGCAACAGGACAGGATGGGCCAGGAGAGCTTCGCAGACACTCTCCACACGTGTGTTTCACGCCAAGGCAACGTTACAGACTTTCCAYGAGAAGTCAGAAATTTCACTAAAACCCTAATTCTATGGATCTCCAAATGGAAACGAATGTTGTGTCCTCTCTACAAACAGGCTAGAAAGAAGGCRTTGGTGATTAAAAAGAACGTTTTAAAAACGACGTACAGAGCATGGGCCGTGTCCTGAGACTAAAATCCCACTGCCCCTTTATTACTGCTCTACCACATTAACTGCAAAACAACCACCACCACCACCAACCAACCAACCAAACGAACAAACCACAAAGTCATAACCTGTAATGCCTGGTGTCTTTTTTTCTTTTTAAATTTTACTACAATATTTCCCCATTTTAATTCCTTCCTACTCCCATACACAAATTAAAGAAAGAAAATGATTTACGAATACCTTGTCCTAAGACACAGAGGCTGCTTTAGAACTACAAGGATCTGCCTAAGGAGGACATCACCAGGGGGCGAAGGCCCTCTGTGAACCTTCGCACCTTTCCAGCAGGAGGATGGAAATCCGCTATCGCGAAGACCTGTGGCTAACACCGTGGTTCTGCTAACSGCAGCTCTGCTGCTTGCTTTATGTCCCACGGAGGGAGTGACATGTCTGGGGGTCCTGCTTAAAGACGCCCCTGAGGACTTTGGACCAAAGCTAACATGATAACTGMCACCCAACTGGCACTGTGGTCCAGGCCTCAACCATGGCACAAGTCTGGGCGGGATGCAGGAGCCCCAACGGGGGGGGGGCATGCGGGCTCCTCACAGAATCAAGGAAAATCAAGGCCAGGGATGGAGGGTGCTGTGAGTGCACTTGCCTGGCATGTGTGAGGCACTGGGTTCAATTCTCAGCACAGCGTCTAAGAAACTAAAATAAAGGCCTACCAACAAGCAAATACCCCCAAGCCCCGCATTTCAGGGGAAAGAGAAAGCAGATACACTTACCGAAGGTAAACATTCTGACCCACAGAGGGAGAAATGTGAGGTGCCCTCCTAGAGCCCCTGTGAGACCGTGAAGAAGGCCTGGAGGGGACCTGCCTGGGTACGCGGCCTGAACCCAGGCGCTGCACCGATGTCCTGGTGGGGACTCACTGCCGATGACTGACGGCAGGCGGTGGCTGGAGGAGGGGACCTGGGGAGATGCCTTTGGGGAGCCTATTTTGTACCTGGTGAGTGAATTCTTGCTCTGCTTCCCGATGACGTCCTGAATTGCTTTCCTCTGCCACATCCCGACGTCACGATGCTCTGCCTCACCCTGGGCTCTGCGGAATGGAGTCAGTCATCTACRGACTGAGACCTCTGAAACCATGAGCCCAGATAAACTGCTTCTCCTCTAAAATGGTTCTTTCCAGGTCTTTCAGTCACAGCAGTGAAAARGCAGACTAAAATGGTAATCACTRAGTACTCAGGGTATTCAGAACGTGTAAACGTCAGGAAGTTTAAAAGGTGACCACGACCTCTGACTGAGCTGGTAACTCTCACAACCAGTTTCTGAATCTGGTCATTCGACAATTGGACACGCTACGTATTTTACATCAGCACATATGCAAGTGTGTACATCTATGTCTACGGGAAATGTGTGCATTTATCAAAAGCACAGCCACTTGAACTCACGAGAGTCCAAAATCTTTATCATGGGCATCTGACTTAGTCTCCACGTGGTGACTCATGACCATGAATGTGCCCATGCACTGCGTCTGTGCCCAACGTGGCCTCCTCAGCAGGCACGGAAGGCGACTGGCCTGGTACCACCACACTGCTCAACTCATCACCTCCAGGTGACGCTCAGAGCAGCTTCAGGTCACCTTTGCTCTCACTTTAAAATCTGGCTTGGGCATGGACGGAAGGTGGAGCTGCCCTGCAGTCGGCAGGAGGCTCACAGCAAGCCAGCCCGGGGGTCGGGCGGTGCCAGGTGAGGGAGGAAGGGGGCTGGTCCTGGAGGGGAGTGAGGGGCTGCTTCTTGATGGAGGATAATTTTGTGGTACTTTTAAGTCTACGTAGACTTTCACGCATGCATTTCTGTTCTTCAATTAAAAGCAAATTTAAGAATGTAAACCATAAAAACATTTACTTTCTGCACAAATTTTAAACTTCCTAAGGAGCAGAAGGAAAATCGCAGTCTTTAATGAGTGGCAAAAGTAAGATTCTCAGATGGGTCCGCCTGGTCTGGACCAAATGCTGGTCTCTACTCCCACAGAGAGCAAGGACAGAGAGGCCGTCCGCCCCGGGGAGGGCTGAGCCGGGTGGGCAGGCTCTTGACCACTTTGTCCTCAAATCGGGAAAACAGGCAGAGGACAGGGTCCAGTTTGGCCCGTGACTGCCCTCAATACAATACCCTCGGGCAGCAGTGAAACATTCCCTCCTCCGCCTGCGACCTCTCCTGCTCCCCAGTCTCTACAGGGTTCTTACGTCACTGGTGTAAGGGAMAGAGCCCAGCCCATAGCACACGGGAGGTGCTCAGCCAGGGCTGTGTCAGTCCAATGGCGTACCAAGTCCCATCTCTCAGCCTCCTCCGGGCAAGCACACATGAGGCCACCTCCCCTGTCTGATCCTGCAGTCTGCCTCTGGGCCCTGGCTGGACCTGCCCTGGCATGATATCTGGGGACACTGTGGCCACCAGGGGACAACTGCACACTGCTACCTGACCCCTGGGCAGCACCTGGCATGGCTGTCCGCGTCCTCACTGGGCTTCCTGGACACCCCATTTCCTTGCCTCCCCCACCTGGATCCTCTTTCCATCCCCCTCTGCTGGCCCCTCTAATGGACGTGCCTCAGGTTCCCGTCTTCAACCCTCTTCTCTCCAGGCGCCTCTGGAGGAAGCTTCTCCTCGCCAACGTCTCATCTTCCTCAAGGCCGCTGGCTCCTGCTGTGGACGTGACCCACCCTCCTTGCGTCCTTCCTGCATTCTAGAACTGTGGATCCACTGACCGCATGCCTCCCTGTCAACGAGCAGGGGCAGTTCAAAAGCACGCCACCCTCCTGGGACTCCCCGCTTCTCTCCAACCTGCTTCTCCTGTCTTCTAACCCCATGGACCACACAACCCCCACCCCCGGGCACGGAGAGAGGCGGCCAACAGATGGCTGACTATACCCTTGGAATGCCCCTAAATTCTTCTTTGTGGCTACTGTCATGACCCAAGAAACCCTGTCCACCCAGAGCTGGTACACAGGCCTCTGGCACTGCAGGTCGTTCTCCTGAGACAACCCTCTCATGACATTGTTCTGCTTGGTTTTTCAATGGCTCTGGTAGGACAAACCTCAGGACTGGCTATTTCCTGTCTGTGGGGGCGGATTCTGCACTCCTGGTATTTTACTACACAAAAGCACCAGTCTCT